TACCATGGTATTTTAAATACCCTTACACACACACACACACACACACTCACACACACACACACACAAACCAATCAAGCAATTTTACTACCAGGGAAATGCAAATCAAAATCCACTAGGATGATTAAGCAAAACCACGTAACTGTTGTTGGGGATGTTTAGAAATTGTAAATCTCATATTCTGCTGATGGAAATGTCAAAATGTTGCACAGCCACGTTTGAAAAGTCTGGGAGATCCTCAAAAGTTCACACATAGTTACCATATGACCTAACATTTTACTGGTAGGGATATACACAACTGAATTGAAAACATATATTCATACAAAAACTGGTACACAAATATTCTTAACTGTTTTATTCATAAGAGCCCAAAAGTCAAAACATTCCTATGGTACTTAATTTTATGTGTCAACTTGACTGCCCTCGTGTGCAGTTGTTTAGTCACGTACCAGTAGAGACATTCCTATGAAGGTATTTTAAGATGTGATTAACACTGAAACCATTAACTCTGAGTGAAACAGATTATCCTCCATAATGTGGGTGAGCTTCTTCCAATTCCTTGAAGGCCTAAGAGCAATAACTAAGGTCTCTTGAAGAAGACAAAATTCTGCCTCAAGACTGCAGTATAGAAATTGTGAGCTTCCAGCCTTTGAACTGAAGACTGCACCAACTCTTTCCTGAATTTCCAGCTCACCAACCTGCCCTGAATTTCAGGACTACCAGCCACCCAGTCAGTTCTGTTTCTCTGTGGTATATCAGCACAGGAGCATATTAATGATCATAAAAAAGAATGAAGTACTGATACATGCTACAATGTGGTTGAGCCTTGAAAATATTACACTAGGTGAAATAAGCCAGATAGAAATGATCATATAGTGTATTATTCAATTTATGTGACATGTTCATGTAATGGATACAGTTGGGGTCTCCTCCAGGTTTGCAGGTTGAAATTGAATCCCCATTGTGTAGTATTAAGAGGGCAGGAACTTTAAAACTATGGGGTTTAGAGGTGGGGGTTTTAGGGAGTGATTGGGGTTAAACAGGCTGTTAGGATAGAGGCCCTATGAATGAATCCTGGTGGTTTTATAAGAACAGAGAAAGAGAACACACAGCATACACACACACACACACACACACACACACACACACAGAGAGAGAGAGAGAGTGCTAGCTCTCTGTCCCTTGCTATGTGATACCCTGTGCCATTTTGGGTCTCTGGAAGGACTCTATCACCAGATATGGCCCAGTGCTGTTTGACCAGAAATGTGAGCCAAAATAAGCCTCTTTGCTTCCTAAGTCACCCAGTCTGTGGTATTGTGCTACTGGCAATAGAAAATGGACTAATGCAGTTCAGATTAGACAAATTCATTGAGATGGAAAGTAGATTAGTGGTTGTCTAGGGCTGAGGGAAGGGAGGTGAGGAAGTACTTAATGGACATGGGTTTCTTTGGGGGTTATGAAATGTTCTGGAACTATATTGTGGTAATGGCTGCATGACTTTGTACTAAGATTACTAAATTGTACACTTTGAATGCATTTATATGGTATGTGATTTATATCTTAAAATTATCTTAAAATAAATCATACCCATTATGTCCCTCCTCTCCTCCTCCTTCCTCCATAGGCAATTTCAATAGAGCTTGCCAACTGCCTGGCAACACCATTATCTCCAAATTCCATGCTGTGTTTCTGTGACGGAATTTCTTTTTTCTCCTCAAGGCTAATTTAGATGTTCATTTTACTAGAGTTTTTTGAAGTAAAATGTTGGGTGTGAGGGATATAGAGGAAATTCACTTGTGTTTTTACTTTGGGCCCAGATCTAACCTATGTATGATACTGACTGAGTGAGTAGGCCGGAGCTTAAAGGCAAGAGTCTATGTAATCATCATATGATGCAAACATGTACACCTGTGCACACGCACACACACACACACACACACACACACACACACACACACACACGAGAAGGTAAGAGTCTTCAAGGAACTTATAGTGAACAGAAATAAGATTAGAGGAAATGAATGATTTTTGCCTTAGATACAAGGATTCTCACCGCCCAAACTAAGCAATCTTTGGAAGGAAGCCATCCTTCCTTCCTAGTTTGATTCTCTGGGCCTTGCCCATCACCTTCCACCAACCAATATTCTGTAACTGCACATGAGCCACTTGGTACACATCTTCCTTCCTTTCCTCTTCCCTTGTGGGCGCCAGCCACCTCTTACAGAGCTGCTCCTGGGAGGCCCATGAGCAGTCTTCTTCAGGTTTCTGTGGCTTGGAAACATCAGCCCTGTCCCCAAGTCTTACGTGGTTCAGCAGAACTCCGAATGCCACTAAAGATGTCAAGAGCTTTTAGACCAGATGGTTTTTAAAGGTGTTTTTGTTTATGTTGTTCCTGTTGTTTTTGTTCCTGCTGTCAGGGGTTGACTGTGTGTGTGGGTGACGAGTCAGATCTTGAGTCTACCTTGCAGAACTCTGGTGCTTCCCGAAGGGGGAAACTGACTCTTGAGCACTTACTAGTATTCAGATGGTCACTTAGAGCATGATCTCCCTTTACCAGCCTTTAGGAGATCTACACTTCAATGGGGAAGGGGCTCCTAGGCCTCAGTGGTGTCATGACTGCCAACACTTCCAGAATTGCTCATCTAAAAAAGATTAAAAATGTTGGAATCTAGAGATTACCTGAAAGAGCAAAGAGACAGAAACGGCAAATTTTCAGTTAGCTTTTCCTAGTTAGGCAAAGGAACATGGAAATAAGAGACCAGATGATTTAATGATTTAAAGCCCTAGAAAGTCTTAGGGTGGAAAATGAGAGAAGCTGGTGGATGAAAGGAATTAAATGGCAGGAAATTTATAGGTCTATACCAGCCATGGAGGAGGGGGATCCAACAAAAACTACAGCAGGAGCTCTGCACTCAAGGGGCCCATAATGATTTAGTTGGGGCATTAAAATTAATACACTAGAAATAATTTGTAATTTGGCGCTAAACTTTGGTATTGACAAAAATGTCTGACATGGGACAGGTCACGTGGACTGACATACTCTGAAAGCTAAAGGCTGAATACAACAGTGCTCATTCAGCCAAAGGACTTTATATCCCAGCTCCAGTAGCTACAGGTTTTAGAGATGAGTGTCTATGAGTCTTGCCTGGTTTCATGGGAGAAGTATGAGGGAGGAAGTTTCATAATCACAATTTGTCAATCACTGTTGCCATCAAAAAGAGCCACAGCATTTATTGGATATACCTCCCTCACTAAGTTAACACTTCTACTGGGAAAGCAGAACAAACAGAAAAAGTTGAAGGACTAGTACAAGGCAGCCTGCGCCAATAGGAAAGTGAGAGTTGAGAAGGTAAGAAAGGGTTCCTGTAGGATGTTAGACTTGAGTTGACCCTTCAAAGCAGGTTAGTTTGGAGTAGTAGAGAGCAGGGTGAAGGGAGTTATCAACTATATCAACAGGGCACAAAAGGTGGAAGTGAGCAGGGTGAATATGATAAGCAAGAAAACCTGCTGGATTTAATCAAAGGTACGTGGTAGTGTAGTGTCGGTGATTATAGTTTGAGAGGGAAGCAGTGTGGTGATTACAGACAGACTTGGATGGAAGACAAAGAGAGTCATTTCGTAACAAAATAGGCAGGCATTGTTGCCCTAGGTATTTGGGGCATGATGACACCATGGGCAAGAAAGAAAGGCCACTGGGATTCTACATTTTTCCTGGCTTCATTCTCTTCTGTTAGGGTGACCAATAAATTCATCCTATCACAGCAGAATGGAATGAATTGGTCAGCCTGCATCAGATCCACTTTAAAAATAGGTTGTTATAGCAGCCTCAAGAGGTTCTGTACCAGTGGTGGTGAACCTATGGCATTTGTGCTGCAGTGGGCTGTTTGTGTCACTGAAAGCTCTAAAAGGTTCACCATCACTGTTCTATACTATTTACTGCTCGTGGTGAACCTCCTCCCAGTTGAAACATTCCAGTAATCAACACTTTGTCTGAAGTTGTCCTCCCTCCTAAAACAGAAAGGAGGAAGTGTCAGCTTCGCAGCGCAGCTGCAAACACAGGTGCAGACCAAGATGGAGAACGTGCTTCACAAGGCAAGAATATTGAAATACTTAATCAACTCTGGGTGAAGGAGGTAGCAATCGAGGGAACCTTAACAAACAGCACAAATGGCAAGACTATCTTGAGGCCATCATTTTGGTGGCTGCTACTTGGCCACTCCACACACAGATTCTTTTTACTGCATTGAAAGGAGACTGGCACAGGCTCTGCTACATTTGTATTATCACCAGGAGGAGATGTCTTCTCTTTTTCCTGGGGTTTAGAATTATGCAAATAAGGCGTAAAAACAAAAGCTCAGTGAAGCGAGGGCGGACTGTACTTTAGAATCCAGGCGGCTTTCAGAGTTCTTTAAGACACATCTTTTTTTTTTCCCTAGCAGCTCTCTTGGCTTCTTGCCAATCTATTTAGAATTTGGCGCCTTTTCAGAACCTTTCCACCAAAGACCTGACATTTCATTCTCCAGTTTCTATCGGCCTCATTTTGTGAGTGGAGAAATCAAGGCATACAATAGCAGCTTTCAGTATCTGTGAGCTGGCCTCAGGTCTTGACCTCTACCATGTTCAGCCTTCCCTTTGTAGCAGTCTTGCTTGAAAGGAAAACTCTGGCACAATTGCTTCCCAGGTTACCTTTCTTGTGACGGTAACCAGAGGGCAATAGGACCCAGGGAGGCTCAACCCTGAGGCCAGGGCAGACACACCTGTCTAACCGCGTGGGTTGAGCTAGCGTGGGAACCAGTCTCTCAAGGGAGGGTGGGGTAGAAGTGGGTGACTACTGTTCGTGGAGAAGAGGGAAAATGTGGTTCCCTCCTGGTTTGTGGGTCATGATGAGAAGTCCTTCTGAAGAGTAGCCCAAGCTCCTTTTTGCCGTGCCTCTCCCAAGGAGCCTCCTTTGGCTGGTCGTCCTGGAACTCTGTGGCCGGTGTTGTTTGGCCCCAGCAGCCGCCCCCGCTCTCCAGGTGCCTTAGTTCCCGAAGCCGCTGCCCTCTTGCTGCTAGACCGCCGACGGCGTCCAAGAGTTTAGCAACCTCTGCCCAGCCACGTTGGCGCTCCGCGTGTTGTGCCTCTCACTCGCAGTTTTTCCGAGCAGAAGCCCCTCCAGCGTTTTCTTACCCTTTTTACTGCCCGCGCGCTCGGCTTCTCTCCCCCAGACTATGCTCGGTCGGGAGCGGAACGGTGGCATTGCTCCTGCCCCAAGCCTGGCTGTCCTGAGGGCGGGGCTTGGGGAATCCGAGGAGCCATCCTTAGAACCCTCGAGTAGGCGCCATCCGGACAGCGCGTGGGTGCGCTGGCGAGAGAACCAGCTAATTAGACAAAACTTAGCTGTAGCAGTAGCTTGGGTACCTAGATGTTGAACTGAATCTCTCAGGGGACACTCACGCTGCGCCCTCTCTTCTGCCCTGGCTCCTTCTCTGCTGACCTTAGAAGGCACACATTAGCAGAATTCCTCACAGGGAACTGTTTATAGAGCAGTATCCCCACTGAGTGGCTACCTCCTTGCCTGGGGGGTCGCTGTGAAAGGAGCCTCCGCGGAAACAGCTGTTCCCATGCCTCTTCACACGCCTGCAACTGGACTCCAGGCTCGGCGCTGGGATGCTTGATTTTATCTTGTTCAAGTTTCTCAGCACAGATGTTGACAACTGGATTTGGAGGCCAAGCAAGAGTCAAGTTCAAAGTGGTACTCCGGGGCTCTCCAGTCCAGACTCCAATTCCAACTGAGTCTAGAAGAGATGGGTCTCCTCACTAGCTGATCTTGCTTCTGGAACTCAACTTGACAGAGCTAATTTGACTGCTACTTGGACTGCAGTGGCTACAGGGTTCTTTGGGGGATGGCTCGGGGGATGCTCTGAACACTAGAGCGCAGCACTCAGAATCTTCACAATGGATAGAGTTTATGAAATTCCTGACGAGCCAAACGTGGATCCGGTTTCATCTGTGGAGGAAGATGTCATCCGAGGGGCCAACCCCCGCTTTACCTTTCCATTTGGTATCCTATTTTCCACCTTTTTGTACTGTGGGGAGGCTGCATCTGCCCTGTATATGGTTAGAGTCTATCGAAAGAATAATGAAACATTCTGGATGACATATACATTTTCTTTCTTTATGTTTTCATCTATTATGGTGCAGTTGACCCTCATTTTTGTCCACAGAGATCTGGCCAAAGATAAGCCGCTATCATTATTTATGCATCTAATCCTTTTGGGACCTGTTATCAGGTGAGCAATTTTTTAATCTTTCCCCACCTAATCTAAACAGAAAAAGATGATGCTAATATTTACTAGACTGATACTATGCCTCTGATCTAATTGATTCATCCATTCCCTCCTACTCTTAGCTTCCCTGTTTACCATCCAAAATAACTTACCTAAAATTTTAACTGCCACCATGATGAACATGTGGTATATGCCTGTGTTCCCAAACTGTGAATGATACCATCAATAGGACTTCTTTAGGCAATGCTTGCTGTCTGACTTTTCGTTATAGAAACTGGTATGGAACCAACAGATGTGGTCACCCTGTGTGCACAGGACATAGAGCTACAGAGTTATTTTTTTGTGTGTGTGGTACTGGGGATTGACCCAGGGCTTTAGGCATGCTACACAAACACTCTACCCCTGGGCTACAACCCCATTCTGAGAGTGTGTAATTTTAACTCTGCATTTTGGATGTTCTTTAAATTGGAATAAAATTCCTTTCTGATTCCATCCCATCCCATATTGAGTTTTACTTTGAGCTCATGGACAAAAGCTGCTGCTATTTTTAAATTTTCCAGTTATTTGACATCTACAAAAAAATTTTTAAGACATCTGCAGTGTTCTGGTACCCAATATGATATAATTCATTGTTCTCTCCTATTTCTATCTTCTAGTTCATTACTGTCCTGTTTATCGCTTTGTATATTTCTGTGATAATGATACATACTTGGAAGCAGGTAAAGGAAGGTAGTTCATCTATCTGGATGCAGTACCATGGTATATAGTATCAGGTGTTCCTATTCAAGTTCCTTTGAAAGGATGAAAATAAAGGGAGACAGGTGTCTGTATCATCAGTCTCATCTGGATACTATGAGGAATTCAAGGTGGAGCGGTGTTGCAATACTTATGAGATCAGGAGGGAGGAATGGACCAAGTTTGTCATGATTGCAAGAGTACAAACACCTGCAGTAGCTGAGGGCGATGGGTCACTTTTGATGCTGTAACTGGCAATAGGAAGGTATCTCAATAGAGGATTATAAATGGACTGTGAAACTGATAAACGATGGAACTCCCCTCTTTATAAAATTTTTTTATCTGTAAATGTATATATATATATATATAGTTTTTATTTCTCAATTCTATCTCCATAAAGCTTAAAAAGTACAGTACTTACAGTGTAGTTTTAAGTGGAAAAGAATTGGTTAGGGTCTATCACAGAAAATAAGCCTAAAAAACAATGGTAAGGAGTCAGGAGACCTGGTGTCTAGTCCTCTCTCTCACTGACTAGTTGTGTGTCCTTAGTCAAATCTCTGAAAATGCCTTGGGACTCGGTTCCCTCATCTGTAAATTAAATGAGTTGGACTACATCATGAGTCTTAAACTCTAATCTAATTGAGGCGGCCAGGCAGGTGTCATAAATGAGTGAAGTGGGCCAAGTATGAGAAATCTAATAATGTCATGCATGATGATAAATGAGAATGAAGTCTCAGTGTTAGAAAAAGGAAGAATAAGTACCATGGCAATTTTGAGCCCATGACCTGCCTACACAGGATTCAGCCACTCTACAGGTCTGGCCCATTGTTTCAGTGTTGGGATTTAGACCTAGTATTGCCATACCTCCTAACTTTATAGGAGAACCTCCTGAGATAGGATTTTATAGGAAATATCATGATTTTTAGTTTTGACAAATGACTGAAAGCAACACAGTATGGACCAAGCTACACCTACTGGTCACATAGTGACTCAGCTGGTCATATGCAATCTTTAGACTTGGTGATCTACAGGTCCTTTCTAGTTCTAAATATTTGAATTGTAATATATTGAGTTAACAGATGAAGAACTTTCAACATGCAAATTCTAGCAAGTACCCAGCACCCAGCTTTGACCTTTCTCTGTCTCTGTCTTTGTCTGTCTCTGTCTTTTTGCTTTGTAGCCTTCCAAACTATCTTTGATCTGCACTATCTATATGGAGCATTGTTCACTGTTTTTCATTTTTCTTGTATAACTTCCATTAGAAATGATTGGGAAACATTTATAACCACAGTCACCAAAGTCTACAACAGGGAAAATGTTAAAACTCAGAAATCATATTCTTTATATGCTTCTTTTAGGGCCAATTTTTAGGTAAATAAAAATTTTTAGGTAAGTAGGATTAGTGCTATCAGGCATATGAAGGTGTTTGTAGGGTTAGCTCTCTTACATGAAATGCAACCATTCTTTTGGAAATGAAAATATACTCTTGGTTTATTGAAGCTTATAAAGAAGGCAAATACCCTCACATAAACCAATGAAGAGCCTTAAGAATAGAAGCATACTAATATTAACTGGAGAATTTTTATGCCCGTATCTTGTATTCTGAGTAACTACTTTAAAGATAATAGTATGCAGTGTATTAATTATTGTTATTCTCCTATCAACTTGTCATGAAATTTTATTTTCCCTTTTTTTCCATAAAATAAAAAAAGAATAGAAGCATAAACAGAATGCTCCATGCCACCACCTCCCCCAATATAGCATTAACAATAGCATGGATGGGCTAGGGTTAAAACCTAAATGTTTTGTTGCAAAGGTACTTGAACATTCTCCTTAAATAGGAAGAGAATGTTGCTTTTTCTTCTTGGTTATTTCTTTCCTTCTTTTTCTCTCCCATGACTTAGAGTTTGTCTTTAGAAAGTGGAAGTTTCTACCTAACACTTTGGACTGCTACACATGAATCACTCTTGAGGAGATCGTATGGAGAATACTGGCCAATACATGTTCCAAAACATCCTATCAGGGACAAAAACCTAGAGAGGACATAAATCTCTGAGCTTATCTTTGATTTTTTTTTTGTTAAATCATATTGCTGTTATTATCCTCTTTTCATCATTTCTTACCCTGTATTTTTTTCTTCTCTTTCGTTCATTTATTCACCAAATATTTACCAAATTCCCACTGTGTGATAGGAGATATAAACAAGATAAATACAACCTGTACCCTCAGCCTATTGGGAAAAATGGCTTCATTTCTACCACAGGTGTTCTTACTTGCCATAAGAAGCAACTCACAGTTTCCGTTCATTTCAGGGTGAGTACGGGAAGTGGTAACTCAAGTATTCCAAAACAAGATATTCTAGTTGCTTCTATTCACAGCATCAGAACTACTAAAGACTTCTGATTGTAAAGGGTAGATGGAAAAGGAACAGCAGAAAGTGTGGTCTTTTTGCTATTTCCAGGATGATAGATTCTCACAAGGATGTTTTCCTCTCTGTAAAGGATGAATCAGGTGTAAAAAGCTGTCCAAAATAGGTCAAGAGACACAAAAATGGGGCTTTCTTACAAAAGCAGAACCTGAAAACCATGATTATGGATCTAAATGCTTTGAATAAAGAACACCTTAAGAATTTAAAGTGTTATGAAAACCAAGGCCTTCTAGAGACTCCATCCTTCTCTCTGAATATAATAGTCTCATAATACTTTTGTGTTCAAAGGACTTTTTAAAAACCACAGACCTATTCTTTATTTTAGGGAAAAAAATAAAACAAAATTTTATAACAAAATAATAGAAGAATAGCAACAGTTATCTCATTATGTATCATTATCTTCAAAGTAGTTACTAAGAGTATAAGGTATAGATATAAAAAATTCTCCAAACGATATTAGCATAAACCTTTCTTTTCAATGAATTAAGAGAAACTAGTAGTATAACAGTCTTGTATTTTTTCTGTTTTCATTTCCTTCCTTTCCCCTTTCCCCCACCCTAGTTCCTCTTTCCTTTTGAACAGTTTCTTCCCATTTCACAATATCTATTGTACATTTTGGTCCTTGTTTACTCTTTCAGTTTCTCATACCAGGGAGACAATGTGATGTTTACATATGTGAGTCTGATTTATTTTACTTATGAGTATAGTCTCAAATTGCATGCATTTACTTATAAAGGTCTCAAGTTTATCATTCTTTATGGCTGAGGAGTACTCCATTGTATAAAAAGACCACATCATTTTTATCTATTTCTCAACTGATGGGCATTTGTTTTTTTCCCAAGATCTAGCTATTACAACTTGTGCTGCTAAGGGAAACAAAGCAATTCTGTGTCCTCAAAGAAGTGCTTCTGAAACGATGTTCTTAGGTCAGTCAGTGACCAAACAAATACAAACTTAGATTCAAGTTAACTTGTAGAAGGAAGAACCCTTTCACTCATAAGCAACCCCCCAGGACAGAAGTGAGGAAATGGTAAAAAGTAGCACAACCTCCCCAAGTATTTCCCTCCTCACTACAACCTCCTTTCCCCGGACAACTTTAGTTAAGTTCCCATAATATTTTACTCCTGCAGATGTTTGGAAGCCATGATAAAGTACCTCACACTGTGGAAGAAAGAAGGGCAGGAGGAGCCCTATGTCAGCCTCACCCGCAAGAAAATGCTAATAGATGGCGAGGAAGTGCTGATAGAATGGGAGGTGGGCCACTCCATCCGGACCCTGGCTATGCATCGAAATGCCTACAAACGTGTATCACAGATCCAAGCCTTCCTGGGCTCAGTGCCCCAGCTGACCTATCAGCTATATGTGTCTTTGATCTCTGCAGAAGTCCCCCTGAGTAGAGGTGAGTGGGGTTAGGAGAGGGAGGGTTCCACTTAAATCAAGGGTCTAAATTAAGACCTCAGTTATTTAATATACTGTCTACTGGCTTTATGTAGCAATTCAAATAAAAATTAAACAAAATTTAAAACATACTTCCTCAGTACTACTTGACACATCACAAGTATTTAATAACCACATGTGTTTACTGACTACTGTTTGGGGTGGTACAGATTTAGAACATCTTCTTCATCACAGAAAGCTCTAATGGACAGCACTAGTAGAAATTCAAGAAATGTAGAAAGTCAGACATCTTAGGACTGTCAGATTTCCTAAACTAGAGTAAACTGTTTAGATTAAAAATATCATAGCAAACCCTCTCTGACCACAGAAGAAGCTAGTAACCCAGCAGGAAGAATATTTTCCATTGCCTAGAATGTTTAAATTATGTTGGTTGTTTTGGTTATTTAGGAATGGCTATCTTTATAGAAGTTCCCAAATATTATCGATCATCAGAATCATGTGATAAAGTTCTTTTAAAATTCGATTTCATAGCTGGTCATGATGGCACACACCTGTAATCGTAGCACTTGGGAGGCTCAGGCAGGTGGATCATAATGAGATCAAGGCTAGCTTGTACTACAGTGAATTCAAGGGCAGCCTGAACTACATCGTGAGGCCCTGCCTCAAAAAACAAAACAAAACAAAATGAGTGAGTGAGTGAGTGAATGAATGAATAAAGAAAGAAAGTAAAAAAGAATGAAATTTATATTCTCTCCCCAGATATGAGTCAAGCTCAAGAGTGTGGGGAGGCCAGGAATCTGCATGTAGAAAAAGTCCTGTAGTTGATTCTGATCAGCCTCATTTGGGAATCACTGATTTAATAATTTCTCCCAACGTCAGTGAAAAGAAAAAAGGGGCTTGAGATGAATACTTTCAAATTAAATTTTTATTTGTATTGATGTATATTTATAATACATAATGATTGCATTTGTTGTGGGGAGTTGGTACATGTACATAACACCTCTTAGTTCTTTTTTCATTCTCATCTCCTTCCTTCCCTCTCCCCTCACTCCATCTCTTAATCCCCTTCCCTTTTGCAAAAGTTCTATCTTCCTATTTTCTATTATCCATATTTTATTTATCTCTTTCTATTTTGCAATTATTTTATAAGAGAAACCATGCAATATTTAATCTTGTGTGTCTGATTTATTTCACTTAAAGTTATAGCCTCAAGGTGCATCCATTTCCGTATAAATGACTCAAGTTTATCCTTCTTTATAGCAGGGTAGTACTCCATTTTGTATAATGTCACTTTTTCTTTATCCATTAATCTGTTGATAGATATATAGGCCACTTCCAAGATTTAGCTATTATGACTTGTTCTACTATAAGTATGGGTATACATATATCACTATAATATGTCTTTAACTCTTTCAACAAGATGCCTAGATTGGGACTAGCTGGGTTGAAAAGGCTGTCTACTTTTAGTTTCTTGAGAAATCTTCATAATGATTTTCATTGTGGTTGTACTAGTTTACATTCCTACCAACAATATAGAAGTGTTCCTTTTTCCCCACAACCTCACCAGCATTTCTTATTAATTACTTGATGACAGTCATATTTTCAGGAGTAGGATGAAATCTCAGTGTTGTTTTAATTTGTGTTTCTATAATGGCCAGAGGTGTTAACCATTTTTTCTTCTTTCTTTTTTTAAAAACTAATGTAATTGGTACATTTTTGACATACATAATGATCACATTCATCATAGGGAATTTGTACCTGTACGTAATGTATCTTAATTATTTTTCCCATTCTTCTCTCTTCCCTTCAATCTTTCGTCCCCTCTCCATTTACAAAAATTTGTTTCTATTTTTTAACTTCCATTTTATTGAAAATTATTAATCACTATCCACTTCCTTTGCTTTCCTCTCTCCCCTGCCTTGTTCCCTTTCCCACTTGTACATTCTCTTCCTACTTCACAATATCTATCATCCATTTGGGTCCTTATTTATGCTTTTGGTTTCTCACACAAGAGAAACAATATGGTATTAGAACATGTTCACCTGATTTATTTCACTTAAAATTATGTTCTCAAGGTGCATCTGTTTACATAAAAATGTCTCAAATTTATCCTTCTTTATGGTAGACTAGTACTCCATTGTATATAAAAAACACATTTTCTTTATCCATTCAGTTGATGATGGGCATATGAGCTGTTTCCAAGATTTAGCTATTACAAATTGTGCTGCTATAAACATGGGTAAACATATATCGCTGTGATATGATATTTTTAATTCTTCTGGAAAAATACCCAGAAGGGCAATAGCTGGGTCGAATGGAACCACTAATTCTCATTTTTCGAGGAATCTCCATGTTAATTTCTACAGTGGTTGCACCAGTCTACACTCCCATCAGCAATGGAGAAGGGTTCCTTTTCTCCGCAGCCCCTCCAGCATTTGTTATTGATTGATTTCTTGATAATAGCCATTCTTTCTGGGGGGAGATAAAATCTCAGTGTTGTTTTAATTTGCATCTCTCAAATGACTAATAATGTGGAACACTTTTTCATATATTTATTTGCCCTTCGTATTTCTTCATCTAAGAAGTGCATATTCATCTCAAATGCCAATTTTTGGATTGGTTCTTTGAATTTGGGGGTCGGATTTTTTAAAATCAGGATTGCATTAAATCTGTATAACAGTATTGGAAATGTGGCTATTTTCACTGCCTATCCAAGAACTTGGGATATGTTTCCATTTTTGATATCCATCTTGATCTCCCTTTTCAGAGTGCTGTAGTTTTCAATACAGAGGTCTTCTACTTCTTTTGTTACATGGATTCCTAAAGTATTTCATTTTCACTGATGCTATTGTGAAATGTGTTGTTTCCTTAATTTGTCTCTCATTGAGTTTATTTGTGTATAGAAATGCTATTGATTTTTGAGTGTTGAAATTGTATCCTACTATGTTACCAAATTTGTTCATTAATCTAGAAGTCTTTGCTGGAGCTTTTGGGGTCTTCTATTCAGAGTATCACGTCATCTGCAAATAATGATAATATAACTTCTTCCTTTCCTATCCTTATTCATTTTATTTCTTTTTCTTATATAATTGCTCTGGCAAATGTTTCCAGAACTGTGTTGAAAAGAAGTGGTGATAATGGACATCCTTGTCCTGTTCCTCATTTTAGAGGGAAAGCTTTCAGTATTTTGACCATTTAGCACAATTTTGGCTGTTGGTTTGTCATAGATGACTTTATCTGATCGAGTTAAAGACCTTCTATTCTAATTTTCTATGAAGTTTTTTTTATCAAGAATGTGTTTTGATTTTGTTAAATAATTTTTCTGCATCTATTGAGCTGATCATGTGGTTTTTATTCTTGGTTCTGTTAATATGGTGTATTACATTTACTTACTTATACAGATTCAGCAATCCATGTATCCCTGGGATGAATCCTACTTGGTTATGGTGTATAATATTTTTGATGATTTGTTGTATTTTATTTGCCAGCATCTTATTGAGGATTTTTGCATCTATGTTCATTAAGGAGATTCACCAGTGATTCTGTTTTTTGTTCATCCTTCTCTGGTTTTGATATCAGGATAATGATTGCTTCTAAGAATGATTTTGGGGGTACTGCTTCCCTTTCAATTTCATTAAAGAGTTTGTGGAGTAGTGGTGTTTGATCGTCTCTAAACTTCTTTTAGACAGCATCAGAGAATCTAGCAGGACCTGAGATTTTCTTTGGTGGTATTTTTTTTTTTACTTCTTTAATTTCATTGACTGATATTGGTTTAGAATTTTTATATCCCCTTGATTCAGTTTTGGTAATTCATATGTATCTCGGAATCTATCCATTTTTAAAATTTCACCATCTTATTTAAGTACAGATTTTCAAAATACATACCAATGAGCTTCTGGATTTCTGAAGGATCTGTTGTGATTTCATATAATTCATTCTTAATTGCATGGATCTGTGTCTTCCTTTTTTTTGATAAGGGTAGGTAAAGGTTTGTCTATTTTATTTAATCTTGCAAAGGATCAACTCTTCAATTCATTGATTTTTGTATTGATTTTTAGTCTTAATTGCATAGATTTCTGCTCTGATCTTTATAATTTGCTTCTTCCTATGAGCTACATGTTGAACTTAATCTTCTTTTCATGTAAGTTTGAGATGCAACATTAGGTTATTTATGTAATCTTGCTCTATTTTTCTGATGAGGGAACTCACTACTATAAACTTCCCTTGTAGGACTTCTTTCACTGCATCCCATAAGTTCCAGTATGTCATATTGGCATTAGTGTTGAAATGTAGGAACAGCCTAATCTCTTTTTTGCTTTCATCGGTGATCCTTTGGTTGTTCAAGAGGGTATGGTTTGTATGGTTTTATTTTCCTGTGTTTATATATTTTTTTGGTTTCTTTTGCCATTTGTTTTCAATTTCATTACACTATGACCTGATAATATGTGTTGGATAATTTCAATTCCCTTGCATGTTCTATGAGCTAGTATGTGGTCTGTGTGAGAAAGTCATGTGTGCTGTTGAGAACAGTTTGTATTCTGTTGTTGGGAGAACCTCTGTAGACATCTACTAAGTCCATTTGTTCAAAACTTTGTTTCAGCTGTGATATTTCTTTGTTAATATTTTGTCTAGTTGACTTGTCTATTCATGACAGTGGTGTGTTGAGGTCTCCCATTAATATATTAGTGTTTATGTGGTTTTTCATATTCATTAGTGTGTGTTTTCTCTTGTTGCATATGTCAGTATTTGTTACCTATGTACATATGATTATTATCTCTTCCTCTTGGATTATTCACTTAACAAGTCTATAGTGACCTTCTTTGTCTCTTCTGATCAGTCTTGGCTTGAAGTCCACCTTGTCTGCAATTAGAATAGCTACTCCTGCTTTTTTCTGGGTTCCTGTTGCATAGGGTATTTTTTCCCATCCTTTGATTTTCAGCCTATGAATTTCTTTTGGAATTAAATATGTTTCTTGTATGCAACGTACTGTTGGATCTTGTT